CTTCCCTTCCTCTTCATTTGCATTGCTCCCTCATTAATCCTTGTCACGGCTGTAGTCTTATTTTTCAGTGAATAAACAGAAAGTCTAAAAATATCTAGGATTCTAAGGGAAAAGTAATTTTTTTTTTCATTAATCAGTATTTTTTATTATGGTTTTGTGGGGTACAGTTAAGGGTTAGGTGTACAATGACGTTTCATTCAGGCACCCTGTAGATAAGAAGTGTTTTCCCATCCCCCGACAGATATTTGCTACTGTTAATCCCATCCCCCTCCCCCCCATAGTTTCCCAGTACCATCCGTCATTTTCTCATAGTATTGCATTGGATGTTCAAGGTCCATTATATGAGTGAGAACATGTGATATTCGGATTTTTGTTTTTGTGAGAGGTCACTCAGTATTATAGACTCTAGTTCCATCCAGGTTGCAGCGAAATTCATGATTTTGTTCTTTTTTATGGCTGCGTAGTATTCCATCGTGTATATGTACCACATTTTTTTAATCCAGTCCTCTTTTGATGGGCAGCATGGTTGTTTCCAGGTTCTTGCTATTGTGAACAATGCTGCGATAAACATACGTGTGCAGGTATCTTTTTTATAGAGTGATTTGTGTTCTTCAGGGTATATTCCCAGTAGGGGGATTGCAGGGTCATATGGAAGGTCAATTTTTAGAGCTTTTAGGAATCGCCACACTGCTTTCCACAGAGGTTGCACTAGTTTACACTCCCACCAACAGTGTAGGAAAAGTAATTTTATGTATCTGGAAGCTTCCATGTTTGTGTTACAAAGGAGTTGGTCTATTGAGTGTCGCTAAAAATGTCAATAAAGCTCTCTAACTCTTAAGCCTGAATGGAAAATGCGTTAATGCTTTCAGAAAATCTGAGTGTTAGAATCTAGAGCCTCAGTTCTCTCCCCTGGCCATTTGTGGAAGCTGTGTAGGGGATATTTGGGGACTTTGAAAGAAAAGCACATTTTAAGCAGGGTATTTTGCTTTGCTTCTTGATTCCAAGGACAGTAGTTCTGAAAGTGAGGGAATTCATTGTGAGGGAAGCTGTTTAACATTTGGAATGGTCAAAATCATTAGACAGTAGAAGAACGCAACACAGAGTTCTTTAAGAAGACATTGGATATTAGTATAACCACTGATAAGTGGATCAACATCTAACATCAACTCCTTATTCCGTTTCTGATGGTAAAACCCTTGGAAAGATAAGAGGTTGGAAGTTAAGACTGTCGGTTTATTTTACCTCCGACTTTATCCTAAATTGTTTATAGGAGAGGCTAATTGTCTGTAAATGCAAGGGCCTTAAATTGAGAACTGTTTTAGTAAAGTTGCCTGAAGACCTACTTATCAATGAAATAAAACTGGAGGCAGAGAATTCTGATAAGCTCTTTTGCCATAATTATGTTGATGTGTCTCACCTCTCAGTCTCTTTGGCTTGAATTCCTTATTCAGAGTAAGGAAGAATAATATTGAGGAGGGAGTACTCAGAGACGCTCGAGCTGGTCCAATCCTTGACTGTAGAGAAAGAGAAGCTTTCAGAGTATGCTGGTTCCAAGCTTTTTGCTGTTACTTAAATTTAAATTTAACAAACAAAGAATTCATAAGAGACTTGAGGAATCTTCTGATTAGAGTCCTAAAAATACATATTTGAAGTTGAATGACGTAAGAGTTGACATTCCTTTGGGAGTTAGGAGAATGTTATTTGTGTCTTAGTTCTAGCATGAACCAGAGATCCCCTTTACCTCCCTGGGACTGAGGGTTTCCTCCTCTGTAAATTGAAGGCTCCCTGTGCTTCCATGTGGGAGACAAGAATCAGCTCACCAGCATGTTTTTCTCTCCACTTTGGCTGCAAGGAAACTCAAGAGTCAAATAAAAACTTTATTTAAGGAGCTCTGTAGGACTCATGACTTGATATGTTTATACCATTTTCCTTCCTGGCTTGGACCTTCTGTTCTTGCTTTTGTTTTCTCTGATCATAGCATTTTATTATTTTTCATATTTAACGTGTTATTGCACACTTTTTTTTTACACTGTACCTCTAATTCTTTATGTAATAAGCATGGTATAAATAAGTGTTAAAATGAGGTTATACTAGATGAATTTCAGGGCCCTTCCAGTACTGATGTACTAGGATTCTTTTTTTTTTTTTTTTGAGTTGGAGTCTTACTCTATCTCCCAGACTGGAGTGTAGTGGTCACTCCCGGCCACTGCAGCCTCGACCTGCTGGGCTCCGGCGATCCTTCCGCCTCAGCCTTCCTAGTAGCTGGAACTACAGGCACGCGCTACCACACCTGGCTAATTTTTTTTATTTATTGTAGAGATGAGGTCTCACCAGGTTGCCCAGGCGGGTCTCGAACCCACGGGCTCAGGCAATCCACTCACCTCAGCCTCCCAAAGCGCGGGATTACAGGCTGAGCCACCGAGCCCAGAGATGTTCTAGGATTCTAAGAGGAAAAGTAATTTTACATGTCTGGAAGGTACTAGGTTTGCATAGAACAGAACTCTTCTGTTGACAGTCATAAAGACTTCAACAAACCTCCAAAGAGGTCTGGCCAGGAAGCTCTCCTACATCTATAAAGGAATTAGCACTTTGTGCTAGTTTATGGGCAGATTGCTTTTTTCTTGTTGGGATTTTTAGACTTGCCCTGTATGAAATTGGTGAAGAAATGCCTGTCTGGGCCAGGGCTCACGAATCTGCAGCTGCATCAAGAACTGCAAGTAGTTTTGACATGGGTGGTTTGAAGTCATACTTGGCTCTAAGAAGTTCTGAGGGATGTACATGTGTATTTTGTGGGGGAGGGCTGGTGATTCATTTTATCCATATGCTCATCGTGTCTTTTTATTGTGCTGAGGACCTTGGGTTACTTTATGAGTGCTTATATAAAAATTAATTCATAAGATCATATATATTTAGTGGCAGGCACCTACTTTGAGTAAATGGGAAGCTTTAGAAATAGATACTAAACAAACATCAATAAGTAAGCAGCCATTCACTTTAAAAATTCTCTTATCACTTCACCAAAGGACTCATTATGGGTTCCATTAAATGTCTATTTATAATTTGTTCTGACAAAGACTTCTCCAAACACACCTCTGCTCTGTAAAGCTGAAGAGCTACACAGATGTTCCAGAGTCGATCAGTTTAAATTTGGTTTTGATTTGTGCCATGAAGCCCAATAACAAGCTGAAGGTACACATTTCAAAGTCAGTGACAAGAGTTTGGGTAATTATCATCTATTCTTGAACATAAAGAAAGATTTGTTCCTTTCCCCCCTCAGCCAGATTATATTTATTCACAACTGAAAATAGTTTCTGTTTTGAGAGGTTTTTGGCCATATTCTACCATCTTCTTGGCTTCTTTGATGACGATGGTGCCACATAACAATTTTTCAGACTTCCAGGACAATGATCAGAGGGATCTTTCTATGCCACACTGGGAAATCTGAAGATAGACTTTAGGGGAAGAGGATTTGCTTTCTCATTTGAGATGGGGTGGCAGTTGAAGAAGTGTGTTGATCCTTTCTGTCAGAGAGAGATTTACTTTCTGTGGGAGTAACCTTCAGGGACTTCTGCTTATCAGGAGAGCTCACGTTTACTGAGTAGGGCCGAAGTGTTTTCATGCATGATTATGTTACTCCATATGTAACCTCTGCGGTGGATACTAACTAACATTAGCACCATTTTACAGATGAGAAAGTTGAGACTTGGAGAGGAGGTAAGTCTCCTTGGGTCTCATATTGAATCAGAGGTAAAGCCCAGCACAGGGCAAGGTCTGCTAGCTCCAGAGCTCACCTTCTTACCTACAACCTGGGGCCATCCTTCAGCCAAGTCAGCATGTTGGTCTGACATTTACGAAGCAAGCCTAAGGGTCTCCTGTCACCAGTGCCATCTTAGCCCTGGGATCCTAACTCACAGCTTGATTCTGGTCCTCTTGCCTTCTACCCCTCACCAGAGTCCCAACATTTTCAGATGGAAACAGCGCCATCCTTCCACAACTCACCTGAGCTCAGCAGTAAAGATATATACTATAGGGAATCATTGATTATGAGATAATATATGTTAAAGTGAGTAGTTTGCTTGACTTAGCCAGGTAATTGGCAGCATACTTCTCTCTTTGGGAAAATCTGGACCAACGATAACCTCTGAGAAGCACTTTTGCTTTCTAAAATTTGCTGGTAAATTTTTGCCGATGTCATTGGTTAGCTGTCTATTGAGAATGTATCTATTCTTTATAAACCATCTATTTGAGTTGATTTATCCCATTTGGGAATGAGAACTCTTATTTTAATGTAAAAAGTTGATAATTGTGAGTAGCTAACAGGTGTGACAGTCAAAGAGCTCAAGTTTAAAAAGAAAGTATATTAGAAAGACAAGGTTGAGATTCAAGGGAGCTCATTAAATAGCACCACTGTTCTCTGCCATAGTTGCTTCCCCCCCCCCAGGTTTGTTTAGGACTTGATCTGCCTTGGTTTTGAACCAATTGAGAAATAAGACAAAAGAGTAAGGCTTATGGAGATTACTATATCCCCTTTCTTATATATAAAGCAGATCCTGCAGAATGGGGGGGGTCCTGAGCAGGGTTCCTAATGTTCATCAGCTGAAGCTCCCATCACCCCTAAGTAATGGGCAGCGGTGGTCTGAGGCAGGGCTTCCTCCCTCCAGGGATGAGCTCATCCATGGACAGCTTAGCACATGGAGCAGACTTTGAGGGAGGGGCTGGGTCACCTCTCCCCAGGTTGTTCTTCCACTTTCTTCAATCAGAAGATCCACGCTATGGCTCCAGTGTAGAAAGGAGGGAGGGGACTAGTGTGGCCAGGAGTGTGACCCCAAAGGAGATGGAGGAAACCTCAGGAAAAAGGAAGAAACATTTTCCTGACAAATCAGGTGAATCAAGGCCTCAGTTCTCTCTCTTTGGGAATTAACTTTTGTTTGTGTTTAGTGTCTTTAAAGATGTCAGCAGATATGTACATTTACTTGCTTTTGTTTTGTTTCCATTTTTAGATTCTTGACTATCAGAACACCACCTACTTTGGTGGAGACTGTATATCTATGATTGATTACCTTCTCTGGCCCTGGTTTGAGAGGTTGGACGTATACGGGATAGCAGAGTAAGACACTTATTTGACTTTGTGGTCATAAATTTCTGGAGTCACACTGAGTAACAATGGTTGGAATGGTCTGTATGCCACTAACCCCCCTGTGAATGTTCCAGGATACCTGTGAAACATCAGGTTTCTAAACCACAGTGTCTTCTTCCTTGTTAAAAAGGCATCTGTGTACTTCTGCTAACTGCAGACCCACCCTTTGCCCATGCTTCTGTGGATAAAACTGTGCCCAAAAGCCTGCTGTGGAGCTTCAGCGCCTGCTGTCCTCACCGGCATATCCACACATAGGCCAGATCTGAAAACACGTGGAACATCACAGTCACAGATTTTTGATGCCTCCACCTGGTCCCGCTAGGTCACCCAGTAGACACCATATACCTTAGAAAAGTCTTATTTTCCTGAGGAATCTTTCCCCAGATACTAATATCCTTAGAAAAAAGATTTTAAAGGTAATGTATGCTTGATGTGAAAACATACAAACAAAATGGCAACCACACACCACAGAAGTGTAGAAGTATTAAAGCAGAAGAAATAGTTTAGGGTCCTGGGCAGAACATGTGCTTTGTTACCTCAAAGCTCAGAGGAGAAGGTAGACATGTTCTGACACTCACTCCAATCCCACCCTGCAACATGGTGGGTATTGGACATTTTTTATGTTTGGATATCTGATCTTGCTGAAGCAGAACTGTTTCTACATAAACATATGGCTTAAGCCCACCCAAGAGTTGTCTTGTGCACTTCCGACTTTAGACCTCTCTGAAGGAAGATCAGATATGACATGTTAGGATATTTTAAACTCTATGTCAAACATAAAAATTACAAAACCTGTCTTCTCTGAAGACAGAGCATTGAACCACAGGTTAGGAACCCTCGTCTCTAGTCTTTGATTTCCCACTCCCAAATTGTCTTATCTTGAGCATGTTGCTTGACATAGCTAAATCAAAATTTTCAGATTCATCTTTGAAAGAGCCCTGTCAGCTCCATGACTTCAAGGTTTCTTGATCATTTTATCCATTAAAAAAATGTTTTGGAGCTACTTGTCTTTATTCTTCTCAAACTCCATAAAGTAAAATCAGAATGACCCAAGAATGTTTCAGAGGATTGACTTTTTATTGGTAAACAATGAAACACAGACAACTTATTTCTCCTTAGCCATCAGTCCAAAGTATTTCACTGTCTTATTAGAGATCACAACTTCTACACGTTCGACTATTCCAAAAATAAGATTTTCCTCCAGTCAGTGATCATGCTCATTTGATGATAAGACAATTGAGATAACTTTATTCCCCTAATGAAACCATTTTTTCTATCTAGTAAATCTAAAAAGTGGCACATGTCCCCCTCCCTGATGCCTTTGCTTGTGATGTGCTGACACTTCTTTCCTGTCTTGCAGCTGTGTGAACCACACCCCAGCCCTTCGGCTCTGGATAGCAGCCATGAAGCAGGACCCCACAGTATGTGCTCTTCTCATAGATAAGAACATTTTTCAGGGTTTCTTGAATCTCTATTTTCAGAACAACCCTCAAGCCTTTGACTTTGGGCTACCCTGAGCCTCATAGACCACCCCTTCACTATCCAGAATTCCCAGGCTTGTCATGAATCTGCATCAGGGATTGTCTTGGGAATCAAGACAATTCATTCCTTTTCTTTGAGATTCCCAATAAAAACAAAAACAGAAAATGTATTCTGATGATAATTTGTCTGACTCCTCTAGCCCATAGCTTCTACTGATTCTGTAGAAAGTGTCCAGTGCTAAAGTCCGAGCACATTTTGGAGCCTGTGTGCCTCCCAACGACTCAGCCTTCAGCCCAATTTGACCTCCAGATTATTGGTGCAGGTGCTGATGTTAAGGCAAAGGGTCTACCTAAGATTGACACTTGTCACTACAGCTTGACAACCCTCCAAAGCCTCCCTGGGGAGAAGAAAGCTTGAGAAGAAGAAGGAAGACAACAACACTTCAAGTCTAGATATCCTCCATTTGGCAAATGAATGCCACTGTCCACGAAGGCATACATGAGTATCATTCTCATCCAAACTTTGGCCATGGGCCTGGAGACACCGAGGATCTTGTGACTGGAAAGAATTCCAAAGCAGGAAATGAAACACCCGCTTATCACCCCGGACTAACTACGTCAGAATTTCACTGGTGCTGTCAGGGCTCAGGATATTTCACAAAATGTTCTGTAGCCAGCATCCTGCCTTAAAAAAATACGCACACCCCAAAACCCAGTCACAGGCAAAGGTTACTCGGTTGGATTTGCGTCATACACTTTTTTAACTCATCCCAACAAATGCCTCTGGTTGCTGTGTACCAAGCCCAGGGCTGTGTGGGGGATAAAGTTGACAAAGACACAGACCCAGCCCCACAGGAGCCTCTCCTCTCTGTACTTGTCTTGATTGAGGTTTTAAATGTAGTGCTTTGGAGCTGCATGTCTTGTAGTGGGAAAGCTTGTCTCAGCTCTGCTTACACCCCCTCTGCTGGCTTGACCAGGCAGTACTATCCTGATGAAGACGGCAAAGAGCTGAGGATGGTCAGTGCTGGCAGGTGCCTCAGGCTGGGAGCTTCTATCGCCTGCCCTGTGGGAGGGGCATCGGGTCTGTCAAATACCACTTTATCTCAGTGTCTAGGGATCAGCCTGTGTTCACTTCAGTGTTGCTCATGCTGAATCTTTCTTTGGTCCCCCAGCTGTGCTGAGACAACAGACAGCAGCAGGGGTGATGTTTTGATGTGTCTGGGCCCACTGAGGAGCCACAGCCCAAACCAGCCATCCTCTCTCCCCAGTCTCAGCTCGGCTCTGCCATCTGCTGGTTCCGGGCGTATTTTGACTCATGTAAATAGTTGCCAGGTGTTACTCTGTGCCAGTTGGACAGAAGCAGGCCTGCTTGGTGAAATGGCCAGGCTTTCCAGAAGAGGTGCCGCATGACATGGACAGTCTGCTGTACCATCTGCTCCGGATGTGGTGACCTGTTGCCATGACACCCAAATTAATGCAGAGTGAAGCCTGTGAATCACTATTTCTCTGCGATCTTTGCTTGGGAAGAGGATACTCGTCTCCTGTTGCCTCTCATAGGACTTAGGAGATTGATCAGCCTTTGCCAGTGTAAATCCTGCATGCTAGTGAGTGCTTGGCATAATACCAAAATTACTTTTAATGCAACAGAAAATGGCATGTCTCTGAGTCACCAAAACAAGGTATTCTTTTTGGGGGCTCCACATACTAATTTATAAAGCTTGAAGAACCAGGAAATATAGAATATAGAAAAGCGCTCATGAGGAGAGTCTGCAGGCTAGAGGCCTATAGCCTCATTTGAGATTTGAATGCCTTTGGCCAGGCATGCTCACTGCAGTTTGCCAGCAACCTGGTCACCTGTACTTCCTATACTTCGTCCTCCATCTCACTCCTTTATGTCACCCACCTGACCCACAGAGGACACTGAGTCGTCAACTTTTGAGTGAAACTAGAAGAATCTACTCTGGAAAAAAGAATCTACTCTGGAAAAAATAATGCTCCATAGGGAGCTTTTAAAATGCGCTTCTTTCTGGTGGGCAAAAATAATCACATGGGTTAAAAAATACAATAAAGTAAACACAAAAAAGAAAATTGTTCATTACTTTATGTCCCAAAGATAACTACTTTTAATAATTGGTGTATATCTTATAAAAAGCATTTTAGGCTGGGTACAGTGGCTCATGCCCGTAATCCCAGCACTCTGGAAGGCAGAGGCAAGAGGATTGCCAGAGCCCAGTAGTTCAAGACCAGTCTGGACAACTTGGCAAGACCTCATCTCTACAATAAATCAAAAAATTAGCTGAGTGTGGTGGCATATCTGTGGTTCTAAATAATTGGAAGGCAGATGTGGAAGGATCGCCTGAGCCCAGCAGGTCAAGGCTGTGGTGACCGTGAGCATGCCACTGCACTCCAGCCTGGGTGACAGAGTGAGACTCTGACTCAAAAACAAAAAAAGGCATTTTAAACTTAGGGATTTAAGTTGAGAGCCATCCTCTACTGCAGATTGGAAAGAGAGAAAATTAGTTTTACCTACAGCATTGTTTAAACCACTTGTCATAGATGATGTTAACATCAGAATGGATGACCAATGGAGGCTTTGGTTCCCCTCCCTGGAGGTTCTGAACTAGACCCCAGCCTGGATTCCAGCTACCTCCTAACGGGTTTGGTGAGGGGGAAGGAATGTGTGTGGTTGAGACAAGAGGGTGTGTGTATGGCTGGGACAGCTGCAGTTGGTGGTGGTAGTGGGGATGGTGACTGAATGTGACATGAAATTTCTTCTAGCTCTAAAGTTTTCTGATCTTGGACACCAGAAGTAACTGTGAATGTTAAAGTGGACTTAATCAAAAGTATAAGGTACAAGCTAGAGAATTCCCTTGAGCACCTCAGGGATTGCTTATATTTGGCTCCCACACTGCTCCTTGGATCTTTGATGGTGGTGGTGGCAGGGGGATTCTCTAATGATTTCTCATCTTCAATTCCTCTGATCCATGTTTCCTTTGTCAGAGCCATTGGCCTCCTTGATGGAGGGGGGACTGGACTACTCTGCTTTGAGAACCAAGCTTGAAGCCCTGTGGTTTATATCAGCCTGGTTTGGTTTATTATCTAAAGTCTTCATAAAGAGTCAAATATTCAGCTCAAGGGGGTTCTCATTAATTAGCCTCTAGCCCTTTCCTCCCTCACACTGAACACTGCGGCTACCCAGGAAACCCATTTCCCATTTATCTTTGTGTGTGAGTACCTGGAAGACTATATTTGGTCTTGTCAAACATTTTGCTCGCATCTGACTTGTTGTTGGAGCTCTTGAGTCTTTGCAAATGCTATTTCCTCCACCACTGTTGTTCCTCAGATCAGCCTCCTGTTTTTTTCTAACTGGCTTTCTCTTGCAAAGTTTAGATCAAAACTCTTCTTTATGTAAAGAGGAAGTGTTGTACCTAAGAACAGGGAGGGCTTCAAGATTAGCATTGGGTTCAAATTTGAGTTGCCATTCATTAAGTTCCTTGAATAAGTTGCTTCATTTCTTATCTGTAAAATGGGACCACTAAGAACCTATTTCATAGGTTGTTGAAGAATGGCTTAGTACCTGCTGGGTGAATGCTCAGAGAATGGCAGGCAACCCGTATTATCATAATGAGGCTTCTGCTAATGATCAGACTTGAACTTTGTGCTCATTCTCTCATCACTTTTTGGAACTAGACGTTCTACGTTGCACATGACTGGATTCATGGTTTGGTTGCTTCATGTGTGCAGGTTTAATCTCAATAACTAGTGAGCCCTTGGGAGCTGGGATTTTATCCCTACCCCATCTCTTCCCTCAGATCCCAAGACCTCATTTAATACTGTGCATTCTGAAATCTTGCACTGTTGCTGATGATGGTTAAAATATTCTTTCCCATGTTTTAGAGGAATACTCAGAATCTCACTCCTCTATCCTCTGTAAAGAAAAAATTATTCAATAATACTTATTAAAGCCTTTATTCAGGACCATCATGATAGGTATAGAGACCACTGCAGTTTTGCAGTTGAGGAGAGAGACTGAGCTCAACTCTGAATACTGTGTGGGCAAGTGGGAATTTATAGCCAAGTAGCAGTGGGGTCAGGGTGGAGGAGTCAATGGATTGAAACTTACTGAGAAAAACATCAGGGATAAGGAGGATTCTTGCTAAACTGACATAGCAGGACTCTCACTGAAGACAGGTGAAGGTGATCAGATATCACCTGGGGGATGGTAGAGGACTGGGAACCCAATCATATATTAAGGATGATCAGACATTTAGGGTAGGGGAGTTCATGCCAAATTGACTTTACTAAGACTACATTTTACAAAGAAGTGTACAGATGGGTGTTGGAGAATAGTTAAAGTTTGGTCAAGCAGAGAATCTTTGTCACTGCTTGGAACAGATTATCTCCTACCGAGAGTTAAAATGTGAGGTATCTGAAATGCCACAGGCCTGCCCAGTAATCAGGCAGCTTGGATGTGAATGGAACACAAAAGTACCCTGGTACTATGCTGTTTACTGGCAGGAAGATTACACACGTGCTCCATGAAACCATGTGATACTTTACTCCATCATTTCCTCCCAAGAATCCACCATGACCATGAATCTCCTTACAAATGTCAAGTGTTTCCAGCCCACTTGTCATCAGTAGAGGCCTCCCTCCAGAGAGTGCAGTTGAACAGCAGCAGTTAGCTTCTGCTATAGGAGCAAATGGGAAAGAGCCATTTCCAGGCTGGTCCTGGAGCTAAGGTGGACAAAGCAATGCAGGTGGAGGCTGGCTCAGTGACAGTACTGCCCCCAGAGAGCCCTGCACAGGGGCAGCCTCTCTTTCAGCATCACAGGACTGGGACTGGGAAGTGAAGAGGATGGATGTCTGAGCAGGAGCAGCCTTTGCTAAATCTGGGAATATTATTTGGTTATGCTTGGGGGGAGTAGAAAATCTCTCCAACAATGTGTGTGTGTGTGTGTGTGTGTGTTTGTGTGTTTGCATGTTTCTGTGCTTTTCTTCCATAAGAGGAAGATATCAGGATGAATAATGAGGAAGTATATAAATGATAAGAGCAAGTGGTGTTTAAACATTTTTATTCTAAAATAAATGATCACTGGCCATTTATTTACTAAACAGAAAGGTGCAGATGATCTGATGATAGCAGCAGGTAAGGAAGATAGGAGACACA